TGCATGTGACCAAAACCTGCCGGCCCAAGGCAAATCAGCCTGGGTGCTTCGCTGCGCGACAGCATACCCGCTGGGGCTGGCCTTCCGGATGCATGTGACCTAAACCTGCCGGCCCAAGGCAAATCAGCCTGGGTGCTTCGCTGCGCGACAGCATACCCGCTGGGGCTGGCCTTCCGGATGCATGCGACCTTAACCTGCCGGCCCAAGGCAACTCAGCCTGGGTGCTTCGCTGCGCGACAGCATACCCGCTGGGGCTGGCCTTCCGGATGCATGTGACCTAAACCTGCCGGCCCAAGGCAAATCAGCCTGGGTGCTTCGCTGCGCGACAGCATACCCGCTGGGGCTGGCCTTCCGGATGCATGCGACCAAAACCTGCCGGCCCAAGGCAAATCAGCCTGGGTGCTTCGCTGCGCGACAGCATACCCGCTGGGGCTGGCCTTCCGGATGCATGCGACCTAAACCTGCCGGCCCAAGGCAACTCAGCCTGGGTGCTTCGCTGCGCGACAGCATACCCGCTGGGGCTGGCCTTCCGGATGCATGTGACCTAAACCTGCCGGCCCAAGGCAAATCAGCCTGGGTGCTTCGCTGCGCGACAGCATACCCGCTGGGGCTGGCCTTCCGGATGCATGCGACCAAAACCTGCCGGCCCAAGGCAAATCAGCCTGGGTGCTTCGCTGCGCGACAGCATACCCGCTGGGGCTGGCCTTCCGGATGCTCGCGACCAAACCTGCCGGCCCAAGGCAACTCAGCCTGGGTGCTTCGCCACGCGACAGCATACCCGCTGGGGCTGGCCTTCCGGATGCATGCGACCTAAACCTGCCGGCCCAAGGCAAATCAGCCTGGGTGCTTCGCTGCGCGACAGCATACCCGCTGGGGCTGGCCTTCCGGATGCTTGCAACCAAACCTAAAGTCCTAATGCACCTCAGCCTGGGCGCTTCGCTGCGCGAAAGCATGCCCCCTGGGGCTGGCCTTCCGGATAGAATGCAGCTCCACACGGTAGCTCGGCCCTTCGCGAGACCTCCTTCGGATAAAACTTACAGGGCTATGGTTACTATATGTTGGGCATTTGCTCCTTCCGAAGTGTGAAGCCGTCGACTAGGTGCATCTTTTCCCCCGGGCGTGGCCCCCAGTGGGCGTACCCCTGCCTAGGCGCTATTGCGGACTTTTGGCTGCTTCCAGGACAGGGACCCGCTGGGATAACAGACCACGCTGCGCCATTCTCAAAGCAACTACCCCTCTGCCGCGGCGCCATCCACCGGAAACGGACCCAACCTCACTAGCACTGACGCTCTGAGTTGGCCACTCGCGGTCTACCGATTCGTGCTCTTCATAAGCTAGGCCTGACCCGGAGCTTCTAATCCAGCCTGGTCAAACAACAGCGGCGGCGCATCCCCTTCCCGCTATTTTAAAATACTGGGTCCGGTCTCTCCCATGCCTTTGATATAGCAGAACTTGCGGCGGCTGGCTGTGCCTACTGTCTGACCGCGCGGAGCGAAAGCTGGCGTCTGTTACTCACCGCATCGGCCCCCTCCGGGTAACTAGTTGGTCCGCCATTCTGATGTCCTCCTTCGTCTCGCTGTTGGATGATGTCCTCCAAGCCTTCTTGGACTCCGCCGCGCGATTCCTCGCGCTCTGCCATCACTTCGCTGTTACTGGCGACCGATATGTCAGCAACGTCGAATCGCCTTATCTACTTTCTTATTGAGCTGGGTCCCGAATACAAAGTAAATCACTATTTAAACAATTCAAAATCCCCAACAGACGACGTTCTGACTTGCGCTTGCTTGCACGGTTGCCTGGCGAACTAGCGTTGTCTGGATTCAGCGCTTTGTTCCCAGCTAATCTTTGTAACGCACTACCGTATCAGTCACTGTCCCCTGGCCAATTCCGGTCTGCTCCTCCCGCGCCGCACTTGCCGTACTGCACTACAGGACGAGCACTTAATCAACATGCAAGCTTCTACTGTACGGTGCTTCTATGCATCATCGCTCCCTTGCATGTCCATAATAACGGACACAGTGTGTAGATAAGTGAGCTGAGCCAAGTGCATGTCTGTGAAGTAACTCTTCGTGCAGCATGCGTCACCATCATCTATTCCAAGCAACGTCCTGCATTTCGCACCATCGACCGTTTCACGCGAAGTCGCGATGCCGTCAAAACGCTGCGGTCTTGAAACAAAAACCAGGCATCGCGTCAGGAAGGCCGTCCGGAATTTACATCCGTACCTCATCATCATAGGATAATAATAAAAAAAACGTCCGGACGCATCCGCTAAGTGTCGGCGTGTTGCATCATAATCACACGAGGACGCCACAGGACGCTGTAGTAGCCAACATTCCAATCCCGCAACGTTACAGGACAAGCTGCCGAACTGCCCCAACCCTTCCTTCCATCTTACCCTCCATTCACGGCTGGACGTCGGCCCCATCTTCCGAGGCCTGCTGTACATGCAGCACGTGTATGGGAACATGACAATTAGGGCAGGCACGGCAATGACGGCGGCGAAACATACACCCCCCACTCCCCCGACCAGCCCCAGCCAACCTCCATAGCATCAGGAACAAGAAAGAGGGGAACGGGTAACGAATCGACAAAGAAAAAATACCCTGGCACAGACGTGCCCCACCACCACCTGCACACATAAAAACACTTGCCGTACTACGATATCCCTATCGGAGTACGACAGCTTTTTGTCGCCCCACATAAAGCTCATGAGAGCCCCAACCCTTCCTCCATCTTACCTCCATTTCCGGCTGGACGTCGGCCGCACCTTCCGAGGGTGCGCCTCATCTGAATCGTTCCCACAACAGCCCCCAGGAAGCGAATACGGATAATACGACCCTATCCTGCTGCTACTGCCACTGCAGCTCGTGTACGAGGTCTTGTTGAGGCGAGTGATATTCCATGCACAGGAGGGCCTGTAGCGGTCGTGACGGAGGTCCATGATGTGTGCGTGTGAGAACCCAAGCACTGATCACACACAAGAGCAGGGGTCGTTGGGGGCGTAGTCATCTGTGACGACCTAACGACCTAACGAGTTTCATTGTGAATGACGGTTGAAAGTTCATCGAGTATGTAAGACCCAATGGGACAGAGAACAGCTGGTGCTTGTGTTGGCGCCGTCACGGTGGATGTGCGAGTGAAGGTGTGGTGGAGTGGAAAAGGGGAGGGGAGATGGTGAAACGGCCATGTGCCCGAGTCTCTCGAAAACACAGAAAGTGGCTATGTACACACGATGGCTGCGCCGTAAGTGGAACTCGTCGGATTAATATCATGTCGCCACCTAAGACGGCTCCCTGAAGGCTTTCGCAGCAAAGGCCGCACATCCCCGGCGCATCAACTCTGCAGGTCCCTCGCCGCTGTTCCAACCTTCCTGTACCCTGTTTTCCGTCTAGAGGTCCACACTAATGCTGTTTACAGATAAAAGGACGTTATTGCGTAGATGTGCGTAGTATATTCGGTGGCTATGGCTTCACTGCGCCTCTCTATGCTCTAACAGCAGTGGCTTCGTGCGCTCGGACATGCCGATAAGCGTTTATAGTCACAGGCTAGCTATGAGACTGCATTCATGTATCATCGAACTGATGGTAATCACTAGTCTTAGAGACTGTAAGACACCGCTAGAGTAACAAAATGAGTCAATGCGGATGCTCATCACAAGTGTGTCACTCTGAGAATCGATGCTGACAGACACGCAGAAGGGCTTTAAGACTAGCCGGGTTCAAGATCCGAAACGTTTGCAACGCACACTCGTCAGCCTGTCGGCCAATCCCAGGTCATAGGTTCTGTATGACTGTCTGTCAATCTCCGGGTTCTTGGCGGAGTCTATCTGTCCCAGCCAATCCAATGTCTCTCGACACATCTAGTCTCTCGGAGTACGGATCACCCGCGGACCTAACACCTATGGGGCCTCTGTTTGGACTTTTCCTATATAAATAACACCGGGTCCTGGTGAAGCAGC